GACATTGCTTTTTAGTCTTCAATATTTGAGTGAGTCATGCTTTGGAAATAATGATAAATTTGTATTACCCAACCCTTGAGTTGTATTACCCAACCCAATCTAGCGGCGTCACCACTCAAAATTTTCTTTCCCCAACCCTTTTCTCTTCGATGCCACCCCAGGCCAAAAATAATCATCGCTCTCTAATACAGAGGTGGATCTGGCCTCATTTGCTAGGGGGGGGGGGTGGAGGTTTTCCAAAGGGGTGCATTGCTACGGAGCATTCTCGCCCGGAAAATATTTTTCAATTTGGAGACCTGAATGCCACTTCCTGCATTCTGCGCACTACATTTATTTGATAAATTTGTCCTTGCAGAAATTGTATTTCAGGCAAAATTATTCTACAATATTCTAGCAATTATTATAAGTAATAGCATGGCATTCAGGGCGATTAGTGATTAAATGTACCCGAAAGCCGAGAGAGGTTTAATAACTTTTACTAAACCTCTCAAGGCTTGAGGGACATTTCATCACTAATCGCCCTGAATGCCATGCTATCACTTTGTAATATCATAGCTACCGAGACAATAAAACGGTTTCATTTGAATAAGTTGAAATGAAAAAGCATATTTGCTTTTTGATACTATAATGACTATTGGGATTTTTTCGTTAATGAGGTTACGTTTGATTTTTCATGTCAATATAAGAGATTATGCATAAAGATGAGGGACGATTAGTAACTAAGTTTCTAATCGTCCCTCGTCTTTTCGCAATGAGGTAAACCATAAATTAATTAGTCATTCATCGTCCCTCGCAAAACAAAGGATTTCGAGGTAGCTATGATATTATTTGACGAATCAAATAAATATATATTTTTTTATATAAAACAACTTACTATCTATTGAAGTTTCTGATATGGGGTTCTCAAGAGAGGGGGGAGATACAACCATTCTCAGGGGAGGGGGGGGGGGATACAACCGCTCAAGACTACTAGCTAGTTAGATAAACTTCTCTTTGGAAAACAGAGTTAACAGACCCAGCAAAAACCTTGAAAAAAACTGAGGAACGTACCTTCCACAGTTGCTAATTTCCAAGACCTCTTGAGCTAAAGTTGTTGCAGTATGATCATCATACCAAAATTGACTGAGTTGCTATAAAGGGCAAAGTTGACATATTGTGAAATTATTGATTTAAAAGATTGTTTTGGGGACGCGCATCCCAAAAACAAAAAATTACAATACATTTCATAGTAAATGTCACGATTTTTGGAAGCTTATTATTCGAAGGATATTCATGTAAACATCTTCAAACTTTGTATACTTACTAATTTTGAGGTGGTCTTTTTAGTGATTTGGTTCATTTCTTAATTTGGGCACTTTTTAACACTCGTCCCCAGTCCTCTCATCAACTTCGGAATGGCTAATGGTTAATATTCAGAGTCTCCGAGCGTGTTTCATCTTATATTATTATTATTATTATTAAAGTAATATTTTAACAGGAAGCTCCAATCACCTACGTGGTTTTCATGGAAGTCCTGCGTATTTTACAAGATATAATTATTAAACAATACTTTACCCAGTCTTCACCTATGTCTCCCTGTTCTTCTTTCCTCAAATTCTCATTCTGTTCTTGATAGAATTCATTTAAAATGGCCAGGGTATCAGCAGGCAACTTAGGCTCCTCATCACAGCTAATTGTAACATCATAAATGTCACTCATACCGACAGAAAATTACACAAAAAACCCGGCTGAATCAAGCCACCTGATTGCAGAATCGTTGTAAACTCAATACAACGAGTAATATCTCCAAAATAAGAACAAATTTCCAGTAGTTTTATGAAATACAAGGACAAATTTCCAATACAAATTTCTAGAAATATGAAAGCGCTAGAGTGTACCAGGGCAACGTACGTGAAAGACCGCTGAGCCCAGATTATTGACCGAAATTTCCTTTTTGAAGGAAAATTCGCCAAATTGGTTAAAACGAAGGAAATATAAATGAAATACAATTTTGAAGAATATTTAAAGTAAATTACAGAAAAGTGATAGAAATTTGAAGAAAAAATTGCCAAAAAATTAGTGCCAAACACGGCCGGAAATTGCGGGCTAGAGACATGAATTTTCCCGCGCTTTTTGTTTTGCTTTATAATTTGGTTTGGACGTTACATGTGGTGAAAATATTTTATATGCTGGGGTGTCGCACCAAAGAAAAATATGTTTCTTGGTAAAAATTTTGCTGATCCAACCATTAAAAAGTCAAAATCTTTTTTACCCAACCTCAAATATCAATAAAAAAATACTAGCCCGAAAAACTTTACAGAAGGATACCGTTCAGTTGTCACAGATGTCCTTTGTGCAATTTTCTGCAGTGTAAAGTTCCATATTGTCTACGCATGTACTTTCTTTGGAGACACTACTTGCCTCCTGACAAATCGAAAAATAATCAAGACACTGAATTTTAATAGTCCGCAATATTTTAGTGATCCATGCTTTGGAAATGACAATACATTTTGGAGGGCCCCCTATAGCGTTTTGCGTGAAGCCCCCTAGCCGTGAAACGTGATCGGGCCCCCTATACGTTTTGCGTGAAGCGCTTATTTTACTTAGCCGTGAAACGTGATCGATGATGTTCTTAATCCGTGACTCGTGAAAAGGCAAAATATTTTTACGTGAAAGCATATTGTGAAGAGGTATAGGGGGCCCTCATTTTGGTTTTCGTTTTTCATTTACCCAACCCTATCAATACTCACTCAAAATTTCGTTGAAATAATTATTTACTATAGGATTAATTTGGGGAGGGAGACAAAAATTTGCCAGATCTTGCCCGACAGAAACATTTTATGACATCTTTATAAATTTCGCAAAACTTGTGTTGACAAGGGATGGAGAGAGAGGGGGAGAGAGGGGGGGGAGGAGGCAAAAAACTCCGAAAAACACTTTCAAGACAATTTCATAACGTATCATATTTCTTCCTATTTCAATGATTTTGCTGCGCACAGCTCCATTTTGAAGTAGAATCGCCCAATTTTCAAGTGCAATCTGCCCGGTTTTTAAATACAAGGAGGACAAGCAAACATTTTCCGGACATTATATTCTCATTTTCTTTTTGTTTAAAGATGATGTCCACTCCTGTGCACATGCGCGAACTTTGTTTACGTTTTGAACTGCTATATTTGTAAAATATGATACACTAACTGAATATCCAGGGCCGTAGAACCGGGGGGTGGGACTGGGCTGCAGCCCCCCCCCCAATAATTTGCTAATAATCATTCTTTTTTCAAAATCATGCAGACCTTTATAATTTAATCCATGCAAAACTGCAAAGAATGAAGATATTACCTATATACTTTCCTGCAACTTATCCAAAATATAGTTAATTAAATACGCTTTCGCCCATTTAGTACTACTAAATTGTAAATTTTGACATATTAAAACGCTGTTTTCTGACCATCAGAATTCTGTCCAATCTTCCCCAAAGTCCAGGAAATGGCATTTCAGAGACTCTAAATTTAAAAGTTTCCTCAGCCCCCGAATAAAAAAGAGCTTCCTACGGCTCTGATATCAAACACTTTTCTGGTTCGCTATACTTGTAAATGAATATAAACTATACGTTTCAATTCAAAAAGTTTGAAAGATGAAAAATTTGGGCAATGTTTATACCTGGAGGTCCCCCTTTGTTATGAACAGAACTGATGCGCAGAACGGAGTGGACATCATCTTTAAGTTACGGTTATTTACCCTTATTCGGTTAACCGTTCCTCAATTTCTCCAAAGCAAACAGGGAAGGTTGACCCACTAATTCGTGCTAACATGTACTGTAACATGGCCAGATAAACCAGGCTCTGGGCGTAATGTATGCATATTCCCTAAAATCCTATTATCGACTGCCCCACCCTCACCGAGAAAGTTTAGTTTTGGTATCTTTCTGCTCACGTTTGTACCGCTTGACTTGAATAACAATAGAATAAGATGGAAAATTCTATTAGTGCAAAACACTTTTATTTCCATCCCTCAAGTTTAGAGACAATTCTGGACAAAATTTTCAAACTTTGCCCCTCATGATATATCTTGCAAATCCACTTTACCTGACCCAACATTGTTCTGTGGAAGGGGCAGTTCAGGGCAAATAGTTGGTTCCTTTAAAAACATGCCCATATTTTCATAACATGTCTTCAAATTTGGATATACCTTTTAAATAGTCTACAAATATTTTTTCCAAGACTGTAGATTTTCCATTTTTGCGACAACAGAATGTTGTCCGTCTCTTTCAGTCATTTAAATAATTATTACCATAAACGAATCTTCTAACAATTTATCTCAGCATATATATACATAAGTTCTCGTGAAAACAAACAACTTTAACACGTTCAAATTCACCTTTATCATGATACATTGTAAACAACTAGGCATGTTGTAAGGGTTGGCAACATCAAAATGTTTCTAGTCTATTTCGTTCATAATAATACTTTCCTTTTTCCAGATCACCTGCACCGTCGCACATTTTACCAAGGCTGTCGTTACAGTGCACAACATCGTCACGGTTGGATCTAATCGTTCATTTCGAATTTCCAGTTCCCGCTCACAATAATCCTTAGCTTTTTCCAGGTCACCTGCATCTTTGCACAATGTACCAAGTTTGTCGTTTGAGTTGGCAACATCAACATGGTTAGCACCTATTTGTTCTTTTTGAATTTCCAGCGCCCGCTCACAATAGTCCTTAGCTTTTTCCAAGTCACCTGTATTGTGATATACTGTAGCAAGCTTGTTGTATGAGTCAGTAACATCAACATGGTTTGGACCTGGTTGTTCTTTACGAATCTCAATTGCCCGCTCATACTAATCTCTAGCTTTCTCCAGGTCACCTGTATTACAATACACTTTAGCAAGCTTGTTGTATTTCAGCAACATCAACATGGTTTGGACCTAATTGTTTTTTCGAATTTCCAGTGCCCGTTCAAAATAATACTTCGCTTTTTCCAGGTCACCTCCATCTTGGTACAATCTACCAAGGTAGTTGTTTGAGTCAGCAACATCAAGATGGTTTGGACCCAATTGTTGTTTTTTAATTTCCAGTGCTCGTTGATATACTTTCGGCGAAAGACAAAAAATACAATAGTAATCATTGGCTCTTTCCAGGTCACCTGCATCTTGGCACAATCTACCAAGGTCGATGTAACAGCCAGCAACTTTAACATGTTTTGAACCTAATCGTTCTTTTAGAATTCCCAGTGCTTGTTCATAGTAATCCTTAGCTTTTTCCAGGTCACCTGCATCTTGGCACAATCTACCAAGGTCGATGTAACAGTCAGCAACTTCAACATGGTTTGACCCTAATCGTTCATTTTTAATTTCAAGTGCTCGTTCATAGTAATCCTTAGCTTTTTCCAGGTCACCTGCATCTTGGCACAATCTACCAAGCCAGGTGTAAGTGCCAGCAACATAAACATGGTTTGGACCTAATCGTTCTTTTAGAATTCCCAGTGCTTGTTCATAGTAATCCTTAGCTTTTTTCAGGTCACCTGTATCTCGGCACAATCTGCCAAGTTCGCCGTAAGAATTGGCAACTTTAACATGGTTTGAACCTAATCCTTCTTTTAGAATTCCCAGTGCCCGTTCATAGTAATCCTTAGCTTTTTCCAGGTCACCTGTATCTCGGCACAATCTACCAAGACAGCTGTAACAGTCAGCAACATGAGCATGGTTTGCACCTAATTGTTCTTTTTTAATTTCCAGTGCTCGTTCATAGTAATCCTTAGCTTTTTCCAGGTCACCTGCATCTTCGCACAATCTACCAAGGTCGATGTAACAGACAGCAACATCACCATGGTTTGAACCTAATCGTTCTTTTACAATTCCCAGTGCCCGTTCATAGTAATCCTTAGCTTTTTCCAGGTCACCTGCATCTTGGCACAATCTACCAAGCCAGGTGTAAGTGCCAGCAACACAAACATGGTTTGGACCTAATTGTTCTTTTCGAATCTCCAGTGCCCGTTCATAGTAATCCTTAGCTTTTTCCAGGTCACCTGCATATTGGCACAATCTACCAAGGTCGATGTAACAGACAGCAACATCACCATGGTTTGAACCTAATCGTTCTTTTACAATTCCCAGTGCCCGTTCATAGTAATCCTTAGCTTTTTCCAGGTCACCTGCATCTTGGCACAATCTACCAAGCCAGGTGTAAGTGCCAGCAACACAAACATGGTTTGGACCTAATTGTTCTTTTCGAATCTCCAGTGCCCGTTCATAGTAATCCTTAGCTTTTTCCAGGTCACCTGCATATTGGCACAATCTACCAAGGTCGATGTAACAGACAGCAACATCACCATGGTTTGAACCTAATCGTTCTTTTACAATTCCCAGTGCCCGTTCATAGTAATCCTTAGCTTTTTCCAGGTCACCTGCATCTTGGCACAATCTACCAAGCCAGGTGTAAGTGCCAGCAACACAAACATGGTTTGGACCTAATTGTTCTTTTCGAATCTCCAGTGCCCGTTCATAGTAATCCTTAGCTTTTTCCAGGTCACCTGCATATTGGCACAATCTACCAAGGTCGATGTAGCAGACAGCAACATCACCATGGTTTGAACCTAATTGTTCTTTTCGAATCTCCAGTGCCCGTTCATAGTAATCCTTAGCTTTTTCCAGGTCACCTGCATATTGGCACAATCTACCAAGGTCGATGTAGCAGACAGCAACATCACCATGGTTTGAACCTAATCGTTCTTTTAGAATTCCCAGTGCTTGTTCATAGTAATCCTTAGCTTTTTTCAGATCACCTGTATCTCGGCACAATCTGCCAAGTTCGCCGTAAGAATTGGCAACTTTAACATGGTTTGGACCTAATCGTTCTTTTAGAATTCCCAGTGCCTGTTCATAGTAATCCTTAGCTTTTTCCAGGTCACATTTCTGATAATACACGTTACCAAGACAGTTGTAACAGTCAGCAACATGAGCATGGTTTGCACCTAATTGTTCTTTTATAATTTCCAGTGCTCGTTCATAGTAATCCTTAGCTTTTTCCAGGTCACTTGTATCTTGACACAATCTACCAAGGGCGTTGTAAGAATCAGCAACATGAACATGGTTTGGTCCTAATTGTTCTTTTCGAATCTCCAGTGCTCGTTCATTGTAATCTTTTGCTTTCTCTAGGTCACCGTTCTGATAATACAGGTCACTAAGCCTGCAGTAAGAATCAGCAACATATTGATGATTTAGACCAAATTGCCCTGTTAGAATTTCATGTTGCTGTTCAAAATAAGTTTTTGCTTTTCCCACTTCACCATTATCTTGACACGTTCGACCGAGGATAGCGTAAGACCAGGCGACGCGAACATGGTTTGGACCTAATTGTTGTTTTTCAATTTGCAACATTTGTTGACAATAATCGATAGCCTTATTTATGTCACCTTGACGCCGATACACGTCACCGAGGTCGCCGTAAGAATTGGCAACTTTATAATGGTTTGGACCTAATTTTTCTTTTTCAATTTCGAGTGCACGTTCGAAGTAATCTAGTGCTTTTTCTAGGTCACCTTTACTTTGATACACTCTACCAAGTTTGCCATAAGAAACTGCAACCTCAACATGGTGTGAACCTAAGTGTTCATATTTAATTTCGAGTGAGAGTTGATAATAATTGGTAGCTTTTTCTAGGTCACCTTCCCGGTGGTAAACTTCCCCAAGGTTGTTGTAGGTCTTGCTGACATCAACATGGTTTGGACCTAATTGTTCTATTTGAATTTCTAGTGCACGCTCGTAATAATCCTTGGCTTTCTCCAAGTGATATGTATCTTGGTACAGTTCACCAAGGTTGTTGTAGCTGTCAGCAATATCAAGATGGTTCGGATCCAACTGCTCTTTTTGAATTTCCAATGCCTGTTCATAATAATCCTCTGCTTTTTTCAGTTCACCTGAAACATAACACACTTGGCCAAGGTTCCTGTATGAATCAGCAACCGTAATATGGTGTTGACCCAATTTTTCTTTTCTAATTTCTAGCGCTAAAAGCTGAGAATGTTTTGATTTTGCCAGTTCACCTAACTCCTTGTTTAATAAACCCAGCTCGGCGTATATATCCGATAGAGGAATTTCACTTTTTGAGCAATTCCAAATCTGAAGGTTTGAATTCTGAAATTCCTTTGAGAGATCAAAATCACAGTAGTAACGTAACGTTCTGCCAAAAAACAGGTATATTTCGGAAATCTCAGTTTTTTCAAAGCTTGTACTTATTGAATACAATGCGTCATGCTCTGGAAATATGTTTTTAATTCCTGTATAAAGTGCCTTCAAATGTGGAATCAGTTTGATTTGATCTTTTCTTTCTTTGAAGTAATAAAGAGTTTTTACAACGTGGTTGACTGGACTTTCAACACAGGAGGGAGAAAATAATTTAATTGCATCATGAACAACACCATGAAGGCGGATATCACTTTCTTTATTTTCAGCAGGAAGGAACAAAGAACAATCTTTTATTGCAAGAGAGATATCTTCCACATCTAGATCTTTATCTTGCTGCTGAATATACTGGACAATAAGATCGAGTGGCAGTGGTTCAAAAGAAATTAGGGAGAAAAACTTGAATGTGTGTTTCAAAATGAAATCACTTTTTGCACATTTTTCAACAGCTAAATACACGGCTGTTGACATGGTAAACGAATATGCTGCTGAATTTGTCTGGTCAAGACGTTTTTCTGTGAGTGTTCTTTTCCCTTCTTCTAACTTTTGTAAATAATCTTTCCATGAAAAATCAGGACGGCAATTTGAGTCGATGACTTTTCTCATGTAAACGGCCGCCGCGGCCATTGCCAGAGGTTGGCGATCTAACTTCTGTGCTACTTCATCTAACAACGGATCATTGCCATCAGTTCTTGATAATAAGGCAAGAAGCTGGCGACATTCTTGGTCATTCATACCAAGACTGATAGAAATATGTTTAGTTTCCACACTGTCAGATGGTACAGAAGTTTTGTTTTGCACTGTTAATATAATTTGACCATTATTCCAAAGTTTGTCACCTCTCTGTGGCAGTAAAGGGGCAATGTCTTCCAGATTTTCCACATTGTCAACAATTATCCACCACCTCTTCCAATTCTTAATTCTAGTGGTTATTTGTGATCTTAAATCTTTGATTTTTCCCTCATCTGGCTTCGATGAATTCATAATATGTTGCAATACACTTTCATCGCAGTTAAGACGACGACAAAACTCTTCATATGAGTAGAGAAGGGAATCTAAGTTTTTTCCGTCTAATGTCATGAAAAATGTTGTTTCCGTTTTCGAATTTATTCCTTTGTCAATATCCTCACAAATTTGTCTGGCGAGTTGAGATTTTCCGCTGCCGGGATTTCCAGAAATACAGAAATATGTAAGTTTCCCATCATTATCGCTGGACAACTTTTCAAGATCTTGTCTTATTTGTTTTATTTCTTCAGATCGGTCAACAACCTCATGGGATGGCTTCACAGGTAAAACTTGAAACGATGTGTAAAGGTTGTTCTCAGTTTTAATCCTATTGATTTCATTGACGGAAAGTCGTAGGGTCTTGAATGCATTTTCAACACGAGTAGTCATCGTTTGAAAGTCGCTATTGGAGAGTTTTCCTTCCGTAATATGCATAATCTCATTTCGTACTTCTCTTAGATTGTTGACTTCGGTTTGTATGGTTGGATTAAGGCTTGCCCCACCAATTGAGTTGGAGTAAAGAATTGCAGCAAAAAGCACAGTACAATCCCACTGATTTGTGTCCCCATGTTTAAATTTTGGCAGGTAGGCATTCTTCTTTGGTCCTGGTGGTCGTTTTGTTTCCAGACGAAACAACTCCTGGCCACTTGCCTTGGTGTCATCCCATCCACCAAGGGTGGCCAGGTAACGGCTGTTCCACTCTTGCTTAAATATTTTCCTCAATTCTTTACTCACAAGATCACTTACAATTTTTCTCATACAACTATAGTTTCGTTCCTCTTCGTTTTCCCATGGTATGATAGTTGACATTCTTGTTATACTGTTGACGAACTTCTAAATTATAGCCAAAAAAATTCGTTAGTGTTTTTTATATCGTTTCAGTTTGTGCAAATCCAAATTATCAGATTTTATTCGTAGGTTATCGAATGTACACATTAATAATCAATCAATAAAAACCATTTTTCAAATGACGATAAACATTTTTCTAAAACAATGACGTGTTGACTATCAGGAACGTTTGACCATTTTATTTACACCCAGATAAATTCTTTTTGCAAATTACTTTCGCTGTTTGGAGTAAAACCTTAATAAACTTTGTGGACCACAAAATTATATTTCGATGAAAAATCTTCATTTTGTTCTTAATTTCAGCATTTCATTTAACACCCTGTAGGCTATATTAAAAAATTGGGTTGGGACACAAAAATTGAGTTGGGACACATTGGAGAATAGAAGACTTTTAGCTCAGTCAACTATGTTTTATAAAATAAATCAAGGTTTAGGAGGAATTAATTTTCCATCAGAAGTCTCCCCATTATATCGGAGACATGTTTCACGACTACCAAACGAAATCCCCTATAACCATTTGCAAACTAGCATTAATGTATACAGGTATTCTTTTTATCCAAGAGCTATTATTGCGTGGAACAATATCCCACTGACAATGAGTAATCTTAGTAGTTTTTCTGTTTTTAAAGAGAAAGCAATTGCTTTCGTGAGATCGTAATCTATATCTTTTTACGCACATACTTAATATTACCGTATTATTGTAAATAGTTAGCTATATTTCTATATCTCCTGGTATAGTGTAAACTGTCTGAGGAGTACTTGATTAAAGATTAAAGATTGTGTAATGCTTAGACAGTATGCAGTGTGTCAAATTAAGAATAAAAATAACGATTTAATTCAAAACGCTGTATATTGTGTAATGTTTGGGCAAAATGCATACTGGTTATGACTTGTTTATTCCTACAGATTCATCTATCCCACGACAAATGAAATCAAGAGAAGATGGGGTAGCATATTTAATATAAGATCGCTTATGGTCGATTAAGTTTAGTTAAAAAAATGCGAATTTCTGGCTGAAAATAATTATTTCGTCACCAAACCTAATCTAATTCGAGAGATTACTTTCAGCACTTCGGGAGCTTAAACTCGTCAAAATGAGGTTTCGTATATTGCCAAGAATTGCAGTCAATTTATTTATTTATTTAACTTCGCCATTATCATGCATGCATTCATGGCAGGGTCACCACAACAGTATATGTTACCAATTACTGTGGGCCCAATTGCATATTCAATGATCAGTGCAAGTATTACCATTCCAGTTGAGATTCAAACTAATTTTGTATGGAGTAAAAATGATAAAAGCCGATAAAAATATTGGCTTTTAGTGAGATCACTACTGTAACTTTAGAAAATTACTGTAACTTTATATAATTACGGTAACTTAACATATTTATTCTTCCTTGCCACATTTCAAAGAGCGACGATACAGCTTTAAATTAAACTTGAATATTTCACACCATGTATGCATGCGTATACGTCTGGGCATTGTTATTTTGCAAGAACCAATCATTTTGCGCAAAGCTGAATACAACCCATCTAGCTGGGAGTTCCCAGAATAACAAAGGAAGGGAATTCTCAAAAATTTTAGGGCGATTTTAATTGATGTCATAATGAATGGGCGCTGATTCCCAGGAAATGCTAGTTTTATTATTAAAGCAAATTTATACATAACAATATAAAAATTAATGTTAATGAAAGAACACGTGGTCACCTTCAAACCTGGTTATAATCTCATAGAAACAGGACAAGCTTGTCAACAGCCATAAAATACAATATTCAATTATTAGGCAATATTCAATAGTTCAAATGTCAGTTCTGCTGGCACGTGCAAACCGAATGAAAGACTAACTGACCAATCATATGTCAACAACGGACATGCAAAGCAAAGGTTGATGCGATAAAAGGCTTTCACTTTGACAAATAGCCAAACGATCAACAATGTTTTTGTGAGCGACTGGCCTGGTGGACTGTATATGTGTATATTATCTAATGTTATGCGAGGACTATTTAAGGAGGACTATTGAACAATTTTCACATTAAACGTTATTGCTATGTAAATACTTAAATTGGGTCGGGGGTTAATTACAAATAAATTTTGGTTCGTGGTTGAAGTGCTCCCAAACAGGCCAATGGTCAAGGAAAAATGGAAGACCATGGCAGGAAACGAAAATTGTTTTAAAAATCTTCCTTTGTTGCAAAATTCCCATTACAGCTGTGAAACGTTAAGTTCAAATGTTTCTACAGTTATTGAAAAGAAAAAGGCAAGTGACAGACTTTTTTTAACAATAACAAGCATATGCAACGTTTCATGTATAGTAGCATTCAAGCCTCGAATTTCCCTGAAATCAATCGACGGCAATGGCGTTAAAAATTGCCGTAGAACGTAACAGCTGTCGACGGCAATTTTGGCAGTTTCCACGGCATTTTTCAAATTACTGTAATAAAACTTTAATTTTATTGTTACCTTGGATTTTTGACAAGCTAGAAAATGTCTATGTATTTCTTTAGTGTTTTTTTTTCGAAGAAAACTGAGACTAAAATAGTGATTTACGCATGATTTGATCAACATCTCAGTTCAAGTATCAAAATAGTAATGCACAGTGAATAGTATAAAAATTGCACTATACGGCAAAAAATTGCCGTCGTTGCCGCAATGACCACGGCATTTTGTTCTCCCTCTACGGCAATTGCCGCGATTGCCGCGATAAAATTCGAGCCCTGGTAGCATTCTGACTAGTGTCCAATGGATGAGTCAAGCTATCGACTATTTTTTTACGGAGACAAGAAAGACGAAATCTATCATTATAGCCATTATAGCGAGCATCCTAAAATTAGTAAAATTGCAAAGTTTGGTTGCGAAATGTTGTAAAATACAAAAAATATAGAAAATTTTAAGTATTTTAGAATTACGCGCGGAAAAATGCACCACTTTCGGCTCAAAGGTGGTGCATTTTCCCGCGCGTATAATACTAAAATACCCAAAAATTGCTAATTTCACAGCGGTATATTTTCCGTATTTTACAACATTTTGCAACCAAATTTGGTAATTTTACTAATTTAAGGATGGTCTTTTAAACTATAATGATAGATTTCGTCTTTCTTGTCTGGGTCAAAATTTAGTCTGTAGCTGCTAGAATCATCCATTAAACTAGCTAGTTTTACGTGATGAAAATGAGGGTGCTTGTTATTGGTATTACAATTTTTTCATTTACGTTGTTCCACGGACCAGTCTGCCCTTTAAGAATGGCAAGGCAGAAGAAATACGAGAACACACAAGAGTCAGATCGAGTCAATGCAATCTAGTAATCATGATTCTTTTTCTGTGTTGGTGTTGTGTACTCAGGTGAATATGATGTTTGTGATGTTACTCTGAGTGTATATCCACACCGGGCAAGCTTGAAAATATGCCTGGCCACGGTTGGAATCGAACCTACGACCTTTGGAATACTAGCCCAATGCTCTGCCAACTGAGCTATATGCGGTCAGGTCGGTTCGAGTATGTGATATTTCAGAACTCAGTCTAGTTCCTGACCGCGTAGCTCAGTTGGCAGAGCATTGGGCTAGTATTTCAAAGGTCGTAGGTTCGATTCCCACCGTAGACAGTTATATATTTTCAAGCTTGCCCGGTGGGGATACACACTCAGAGTAACATCACAAACATCATATTCACCTGAGTACACAACACCAACACAGAAAAACAGTTTCCGGTTGGTTCGAGCTAATTGCGCTTAATTAAAAAGTAATATTGTTGAAATAGTCAAGAATTATGTCCACATAGCTACATGCAGATAAATATTATTCATTTTCACAGTTCGCTTGAAAAGTTGGGGATTTTGCGCAAAGGCGAAGGAACAGAATAGATTTTACAGCATTGATAAGAAAGCTTAACGATTGAAGCCTCATATTTTTGTCGATAAAAGCTAGATCACTTAAAGTTAAAACACTCAATAAATCCTTGCACTTCAGATAAATCTTTCTTGTAGTCGGTGTCTTCTCAATAGCCAAGTATAGATGTAGGAATATTAGGGAACGGCAGCCATTCTGGTACGGTTCGGAATTCGTCAGATAAAAATACGAAATAACTTACCAGAAATTTTAACGGCAACAATGCGGTTCCCCTGTGCAACCAGCTCAATTTCCTCTGCAGTAGAGCTCTGTAAAAGAAATAAAGCCTCTTGGGAACAGAAATGGGTTTCGCTTTATTTTGTATCAAAATAGACCATGTCTACCATCTGCGCAGTTTAATCAACGTTTATAAGTGTCTATATAGATAGAGGTGGCCTACTGACCTGCGTCTTAAGTTCAATCTATGTGTAGTGGTTATAATTTCGCATTTACTAAAACCTTATACTACCAGAAGTTGGCGCGTTTATTACAGCGAAAGCGGATAAGCAACAATAAACCGAGGGGCTTAATTTACAGACAATTTTGCTTACTTTACGTAACGAAAGACGAGCTCTACAAGCGCACAAGCCTTTTACAAGATTTATTATCATCTCACGAAGTTTTTTCCTGTGCTACACGGTAGTAAACAACTTACATAACCATGGCCCAACGAGTTGGTTTAACTAAACACAACAGCGAATTTGGTAAGACATTTTAGATTATACAATAGTTATACACATATAGTGCTATGTTTTTAATTTCTCCTTGCAATCCATATCGGCTTCTAATTCTGTCTCTCTCACATGTGTCAACCCCAATCCCTGCTGACGAGTCCATGAAGGACGAAACGCCGCGTACAGGGATACTGAATTTTACACACATGATTTTCTCCTCTCGCTCTTTATAATTGACATGCCTCCATACAAGCTTTTTAGTACAGCGCGATCATACCTTTTGGGTTTGATCAAAAAAATTTTCCACACCACAGGATATTTTACCGTTACAATTTTACATTTGCATCTCCACTTTTATGTTCAACAAGTCTACGCCTACATTTATTTTCTTAGGTTCACAGT